TGAGGGGGGGGCTATTCCCGTTTTCTGTTGGGAAGAAGGGTGGTTATTCCCGTTTTTTCTGTTGGAAGGTGAGGGGGGGGGGGTATTCCCGTTTTCTGTTGGGAAGGTGAGGGGGGGGTTTTTCTGTTGGAAAGGTGAGGGGGCTATTCCCGTTTTCTGTTGGGAAGGAAGGTGGTTATTCCCGTTTTCTGTTGGAAGGAGGGGGGCTATTCCCGTTTTCTGTTGGGAAGGAAAGGTGGTTATTCCCGTTTTCTGTTGGGAAGGTGAGGGGGGGCGTTGGCTATTCCCGTTTTCTGTTGGAAGGTGAGGGGGGGGCTATTCCCGTTTTCTGTTGGTTGAGAGGTAAGGGGGGCTATTCCCGTTTTTCTGTTGGGAAGGGAGGGTGGTTATTCCCGTTTTCTGTTGGGAAGGAACGGTGGTTATTCCGTTTCTGTTGGGGGGTGGGTCCCGTTTTCTGTTGGGGAAAGGTGGTTATTCCCGTTTTCCCCGTTTTCTGTTGGAAGGAGGGGGGCTATTCCCGTTTTCTGTTGGGAAGGTGGTTATTCCCGTTTTCTAAGGTGGGGGGGATTCCCGTTTTCTGTTGGGATGTGAGGGGGGGGGCTGTTCCCGTTTTCTGTTGGAAGGTGAGGGGGGGGGGCTATTCCGTTTTCTGTTGGGAAGGTAAGGGGGGCTATTCCGTTTTCTGTGGGAAGGTGAGGGGGGCTATTCCCGTTTTCTGTTGGTGGTTTATTCCCGTTTTCTGTTAAGGAGGTGGCTATTCCCGTTTCTGTTTTGGGAAGGTGAGGGGGTATTCCCGTTTTCTGTTAGGAAGGTGAGGGGGGCTATTCCATTTTTCGGGTGAATGGAGTGTTATTCCCATTTTCTGTTAGTTGTAGGAGTGTTTATTCCCGTTTTCTTTTGAGGGAAGGGGGATTTCCCATTTTCTTTTGGGTGATGAGGGGTTCTTCCATTTTCTCTTTAGGGGATGGGGATGTGGTTGTTTACGTTTTCTGTTGGGGGAATGGTAAGGGGGTTATTCCCGTTTTCTGTTGAAGGAACGGTGAGGGGGTCATTCCCGTTTTCTTTTCGGGGATAAGGAGGTTATTCCCAGTTTCTGTTAGGGGAACAGTGAGGGGGTTATTCCCGTTTTCTGTTCGGGTTAAGTTGGGAGTAGGGTTTTTTTTTAATTTTTTTTTTTTTTTTTTTTTTTTATTTGAAGGGATGGTGGAAGATGGGGGTGTGGGGTTGCTTTTTTTTCTATTGGGGTGGTATAGTTTTTTGTCGTTATCATTTGGCCGGTGGGGGGGGAGGATATTTTCGTTTTCTGTTGGGGATGGTGAGGGGGGGCTGCGTTATTTTCGTCCTTTACCAGCAAACGTGGATGTTATTTACATTTTCTATTCAGAAACTAGGATGAGTTTCTGTACAATAAGGGTTTTAAAATAGTGTTGTATTTATCATTAGGAATTTTATCTTCACTCCTTTTTCTTCAACAAACAAATAGGATTAATTATGTTACTGATTTAATTTCCGGTGAAAAAACATTTAATTTTTTTATTCTTTGCTTGACAAATAGCTTACATGTCACCTTGGTATCATTCAAGAGTAACTGATAAATGCATTTGTAATTCATTTAAACTTTGGATTTATCTGATTTATGAAGATTTAATCAATTATTATTATATTTATTATAATTTTTTTTTTTTTTTGCTATGATAGTTTTTATGTGAACAGTACCTTCCTTCTCTCTCTCTCTCTCTCTCTCTCTCTCTCTCCTCTCTCTCTCTCTCTCTCTCTCTCTCTCTCTCTCTCTCTCTTCTCCCTCCCTTCTCTCTTCTCTCTCCCTCCATCCCTCCCTCCCTCCCTCCCCTCTCCCTCCCTCCCTCCCCCCCTCCCTCCCCCTCCCTCCCTCCCCCTCTCCCTTCCCCCTTCTTTCCCTCCCTCCCTCCCCCCTTCTCTCTTCTCTCCTCTCTTACCGCATTTTATCGTGTTCTCCATCGACAGTCTCTCCTCATCATGACAGGGTTTGCAGTCACACCAGAAGAACCAGAACTTGTACAGTTCTTCTCGCCTCTCCTTGGTTCCTTGCAGCGGGTCCAGGTAGCTTATGCGACACTGGAAGGGCGAGAGAAAGGTGAAAACAGATAATATGGGAGGGGATGAAGAAAGAGGGAAGAGGAGAGGATGGAGAGAGGGGAATAATGGAAGGCGAGGGAGAATGAAAGATAGATAATATGGGAGGGGATGAAGAAGAGGGAAGAGGAGAGGAGTGGAGAGAGGGGAATAATGGAAGGGTGAGGGAGAGATGAAGATAGATAATATGGGAGGGGATGAAGAAGAGGGAAGAGGAGAGGAGTGGAGGGAGGGGAATAATGGAAGGGAGGGAGAGATGAAGATAGATAATATGGAGGGATGAAAGAAGAGGGAAGAGGAGAGGAGTGGAGGAGGGGAAAATGGAAGGGTGAGGGAGAGATGGGAAGATAGATTAATCAGGAGGGGGGATGAAGAAAGAGGGGGGGAA